CCCGCCCGCGCTCAGGCCGGCAGCTGGGAGAGCGCCGCTTTTCCCGAACACGCCCGTACCCATCGGCAGAGGAGTGCGTCGTGAAACCCTGTGAACACTACTAGTGCACACACAGAGGCCACTCCGCTGTGTGGCTCATTTAGGTCATCCAGGTGCGCCACAGCACCGAGTCTGAATACCTGGGCAACTTTCATTCAGATTATCTACCGACTTCTATTTGCTTCTTGCTGCGAATGTGCGCGTGACAGATCACCAGCTACTTCAAGGCACCATGACCGCAAGCTATAAGGCAGTGCGGGCACTCAGGCAGAGCACCGGGCACCGTGCCGATGATGACCCTGCTGTAGCTCCTCTCCCCTCGCGCCCTCAGACGCGGCGGCGTGACGCCTCCCTCTAAAGACACGGGCGTACCGATGATGACTCTGGTGAAGCTCCTCTCCTCGCCGCTGTCCTCGCAGTACACCATGCTGACGTAGGCCCGGTTGGCAGCCGGCTTGCCCACGGGCGCCCCGTGGATCAGGTCCTTCAGCGTCTTCACGCGCAGGTTGCTGGTCTTCTCCGCCAGCACGAAGCTGATGGCGTCCATCAGGTTCGACTTCCCTGCGGGGGGGGAGGGTTACACGGTGAAGGAAGCCCAGGGGTCAGGGGTCGACGGGCCACTCTGCCTGGCCCCATTGTAAAGACTGGGCACTTCACCCCGGCTCAATCCAGAGCAGGAAACGACAACCGACGGCCTTATCGGGGCTGAATTACTGCACATCGGGCTGGACAGTGCAACTGCACACAGACACAGAGAGGAGCAGAAGGAAGCCTGCACACGAGAGGAGGCCATTCAACCCATCTTATCAACTCCCACTCTGTGATGAGCAACTCAATGGCACATTTTCCTGAGAGCTGGGATTAGGAACAAATCAACATTAAACAGAGAAGCAATTTATCACTCAGGTACCAAGTGAGCTTATAAAGGGCATTTATTTAGGGCAGAGAATAGGAAACATTTCTTGACACAAAGGGCTGTGGGAGTAGGGAACACGCTGCCCAGCCATGTTGTTAAAGCTGATACTCTGGCTTCTTTCACGGAAACAGCTGGAAGACATCAATTGGCAATGAACTAGCAAGCAGCCACAGCTGGTCCAAATGGCCTCCTCTCATTGGTCACCGTTCCCACGTTCCACTGCAGTCGTCGCCCCAGTTAGTGAACCTCAAGCCTCACGGATCTCAGGTGTGGATAAACTTACAGCATTTGAGTCCTCCCCCCCCCCCTAATGGGATCCCCTCAAACAGACTGGGCACGCAATGCAATGCAATGCATCTTCTGGAAAAAATCTCAGACAGACAGCTTTCCAGATAGCCAACACGGCCTCAAATCTCAGGCTTTAGCTGCCAGAGCAGAGCTCCCAGTGTGGAGAGCCCCCTGCGTGGAAGAGA